TCTGGTTGGCATAGTCTAGCGCAGTGTGAGGTAGATTTCACGATGAATTTAATCTGTCAAAGTACTAAACTATATGTGGGTGTCGAATTCATGCCAATCCTGTACACTGTTAAAACGTCCTACTATCATTAAGAAGTACATATCACATTTCCCCTCCGTCCTATATACCTGCAACACCTAGACATCACAGGAAAGGGCTAATACACTTCCATTACAACCTTCATAAGAGCACACCTTTCCCCTTGTCCCTATGTCACTACATGGCAGGAGGGGCCAAGCTGCTCACAGTGGCATCACCAGGTCCCTGACAGAGATGCGGACGGATGAGCTCCAGAAGAATGGGTTCATCATTGGTGCCACCACACGACCTGACGCTGATATCATTGACCGCGACCCTGCCATCCTCCGTCCCGGTAGCACTGGATCAGACTAATCTATATCCCTCTACCTGACGAGCCGTAAGTACAGGCGGCTCTCTGCTAATTCAGTCAGTAGTGTAGTGCTACACTGAATAAGGGAGGATACGTTGTAGCGCAGTACTTTGAAAGTGTAATTCTAATTCTATACTATTCTATCATCTACGCTCCCACCATCGCCGAGGCATGACGAAAAAATCTTGGATCAGGAGCTACGGAGGAGATGAGATACGTCCACAGTCGATTCGGCAGAGGTGTCACCTAGTATCAACTGAAGGCTCACTATGCAGTAGTCGCGGCAGAACTTATTTCATTATTGATCGTTCCACTCTGTCCGTTCGCTTTACTTTCACACTATCGTATTCCCGCTCACTCATCTATGCCTAGTCCCGCTTATATCAAGCCTGAAGCTAACTACTCGCAAGCTCGCTCCTTTCAGAGGCTATGTACAAGGAATGTGTTACAATGTGTACATGCATGCGAACACGTCCATGATTCCTGTTGTGCTCCCGTGATACCCTATCATAGTATGGTGGCACTCTCCTAATATAGCTGCGCCCACACAAGTTGCAGTTTACATATCACAGCGTGACGAGGGGACTGGTCTAGATATGCTGCTGTGTTCTTCGTAGATATAGCGAGTGCTGATCTTATGTAACTTCAGTCCGCCTCCTCACTGCTCTCCTCCTCTCTATAGATCAGGGAGAAGATGGATCTCATAGATCTGGAGGATGACACTATCGATGCGAGAGTCATGGACTCTCCTGGCTGTCACCATGACAACTTCAGAGTGAGTCCGTATGGGTATATAAACTGCTGCTAGCTAATGCACAGAATAACCCAGTACCACACAGTGTGATGAATGAAATGAAACAGTGGCATTTTAGAATGAGTTTTACACACTAGTGTATTGGTTGCTCCGATGCATCGCTGTAGCCTTCTTTACATGCATATACACATGTACACGTTGTGTGATGGTACATGTATGTTGTACATTTCTAATGAAAATCTCTCCTGGCGATCGTACAGTATGCGATGGGTCAGAGTAACACCGAGTGCCTGAGGGAGACGATAGTGGAGATACCCAAGTGTCCTGGAAGACATCGGGGGACTGGAGGAGGTCAAGAGAGAGCTCCAGGAACTCGTCCAGGTAGACTATTACCAGTCCTTTGTGAATACGGCTGCAATCGAGCGGACTTAAAATGGCATGGGAAAGTTCACCGAGCAAAGCACCTTGCCGCTTTCCCAACGAAACCTTCAGCAATTTCATTTCATCGCAATCTTGCCGACCAGTTTCGGGCAGACCAGAGGTGCCTTGGGTTTGATGCACCTGTGTGGTAGGCACCAGCAGTGTGGACTGTTGATAATACCAGAGGATGTGGGCAGAGCGGTGCCTATGGCACCGTGTGGAGGGTAGTTGTGTGACAGTGCTTATGCAGCTGCCGAGTCCATCATGACTTCATATTTTAGTCATAGCACACTGTGTAGCAGCTGGCCTTGCTACTTCCTTTTTCAAATTAGCTGCTCACCCTGATAATTTATACATTCAATAATAATTTGCTGAGTGTCTGACTGCTGAGCAATGTCATCCTACCATATGAGGCGGTCGATATCATCATAGCAAGTGCTGCAAACAGGCTGTTTGTTCTTGTTGCTGTAGTACCGTGGAGCTCCTTAGAATTCCCTCCAGTTTGGCATGACTCCCTCTAAGGGAGTTCTGCCAAAACAACTACACGGTCCTCCTTGTTGTGTCAAGACCCCTACTGGCCAAGTCCATTGCCAACGTGCCAGCAAACTTCATCCTCCATCAGGTATACAGTTATTGTTATCCCGGGCAAGTCCATTGCTTGAATGCTTACTGTGATTGAGTTTTTTCTTTTCTTTTCTGCTGCCCACGGACATCCCACCGCCCCGGACCTGCAATATATAGGGGATTTTGGTATCAGGAATCCAATACAAGAGGGTTTTTTTCGCCCTGTAGAGGGAATATGTCAGGTCAGGAATGCACAATCAGGTCAGTTCCTTTGACCATGCTGCACAATGTAGATGAAAGAGGGCAGGATGCAGATATCATGGCAAAGAGCGACCTCTACTCACGCGTGGTAGTGATAAAGTGTAATGGTCACTGCTTCTGTCCCTAAACAATATTTTGGGTAATGTATACTTTGGAGCGGATTTCCCCTGGTCTCATTCCCCTTGTCTACATGCCTCCTATCTTAGCTCGTTCTCCTCATTTTCTCTCCATGTCTATCATCTCACTGTTTACATATCACCGGGCTCTGCTGTGTCACACACTACCTGTAGGGCCCAGAGTTGCTGACCATGTGGTTTGGTGAGAGCGAGGCTAACGTCAGAGATGTGTTTGACAAGGCCAGAGCAGCAGCCCCCTGCGTTCTGTTCTTTGACGAACTGGACTCCATTGCCAAGTCTCGTGGCGGCAACGTTGGAGATGGAGGTCCGTTCTCCATTATTGTACATTGCCAATGCTAGCATCACATGTATGTCGGTTTTCAGTCATATACATACGAGTGTGAGGTAATTTCTACATGATGTAATTCAGTCTACATATGGGAATTTCATGCTCAACCTGTACTTTTTTTACACACTCACTGTCACTACCTTTATACTACTATTAGAGTACATACATATTTCCCCTTCGTCCTATATACCTGCAACACCTATGACATCACAGGAAGGGCACTATTACACTTCCATTACAAACTCTGTCATAAGAGCACACCTTTCTCCATTGTCCCTATGTACACTACATGGCAGGAGGGGCAGCTGACAGGGTCATCAACCAGGTCCTGACAGAGATGGACGGAATGAGCTCCAAGAAGAATGTCTTCATCATCGGTGCCACCAACCGACCTGATATCATTGACCCTGCCATTCTCCGTCCCGGTAGACTGGATCAGCTAATCTATATCCCTCTACCTGACGAGCCCGTAAGTACAGGGGCTCTCTGTAATTCATTCAGTAGTGTAGTGTTAAGGGATACGTTGTAGACGGACATTGAAAGTGTACTCTATTCGGATGTGTCCCAAGTTCAAAGGCCACTATGGAGTATCGGGCAAAACTTTCTTCCTAGTGTCGGTTCCACTCTGTTTCCTTTTACTCTCACACTTATTATTCCCCTCTCACGTGCAGTCCCGTATATCAATCCTGAAGGCAACTACTCGCAAGTCGCCTCTTTCAGAGGTATGTAAGGAATGTTTACAATGTACATGCATGGAAACAACTTCCATATTCCTGTTGGGGAGGCTCCCGTGATAACCCTATCATAGGTATGTTCCCTAATATAGTGGCCCACACAAGTTGCAGTTTACATAAACAGCTGACTTAGGGGAAATGATCTATGCTGTGTGTTCTCTATATAGGATGTGGATCTGATGTACATAGCCAAGGTCACCAAAGGGTTCAGTGGCGCTGATTTGACAGAGATCTGTCAGAGAGTAAGAAAATGACCACCAACTACATACGTGCATAGTGAGACTGCCTCACTCCACTGCAGGCCTGCAAGCTGGCCATTCGTGAGAGTATTGAGGCTGACATCCGCCGGGAGAGGGAACTTCGAGACAACCCCGACCAGGAGATTGTACGTAGACACACGTTTACACGAAACCCTAACTTAACTGGCTCACGGGGTGATCAAGTAATCACTGTAACCTTGACACAGTGTGACTTTTAAAAGGCCGTATATAGTATAACCTTCAGACTGTGACTAAACTGCCTGTTGTGTCTAGCAACCACTGAGGAGCTAAATATGTTCAATGTGGCCAATATGTAGTATAGCACAATAGCGAAGAAGGTTTATACTTATGTGGCTGTAATTAGATAATATGCATACCAATCAAATGATGGCTTCAATTATACTGCACAGGGAAACAAGTGTATACACTTACACTTACTGTACTTCTGCAGAACAAGTTGTTGTGTCTTGCCAAAAAGTGGGGGTTGTCGTTGTTTTAGGCATTTTGTGTGTGGATGGGGTAATGAATGGCTAACGAGCCACAAATTAGTAATAAAACCCTCCGTAGTAATTGGGTGTGGCATAAACAAGTCCGTTACTCGTAGATACAGGTGTGGCAGATGCACCGTCTCTGATAATCTATACCATAATATACCCCACCACTAGGACATGGAGGAGGACCAGGTACCAGAGATCCGTAAAGAGCATTTCGAGGAGGCCATGAGGTTCGCTCGTCGCTCCGTCACGGACAGCGATATCCGCAAGTACGAGATGTTTGCACAGAAACTGCAGACTGCCCGCGGATTTGGGCAATCCTTCAGGTATAATTATTAAAATGTTGCAAATTTATGCATGATGCACTGTTTTTCTCACTTGCCGATAATCTGTCACCACAATACCGTGTATTTGCACATAAATTTTACACACACCAGGTTTCCCCAGAGCCAGGGTGCACAGGGGTCATCTCAAGGGGGAGGGGCTGGGGGAGGAGCTTCTAACCCTCCTGGACTGGAGGATGAGCAAGATGACCTGTACAGTTGAGGTCTCTCACCCTGTGATCGAGCTGGCCATGACACTGACAACAGAACTTTAGGCATTATTATTATGTATGGCAATATATACCAAATCAGCTATTAATTTATACCGTAAACAAAAGTACACTATATAGAGAATGGGAAGGGGGAATTATAGTGTATAACGGAAGGAACCATCTCATCTTGTAAATTCACAAAGAGAAGAAAGCCTGTGCAACATGATGAACCTGGGGATCGGAGAGTGAGGAGGATATGAGGCAAAACTATGGTTGTAGGTCGGGCGTGGGCGTGTACCCGGGGGTCAAGGCTGTGCTGTTCTGTAAGCTGAGACTGGAAACCCCCAACACAGGTAACCGGAGGAAGGCGATGTATACGGACACGTGGCAGAGCGTATATATACGCCTTCCGCGGGGAAGGGAGGCGGGTCCAACGGCGTATATATACGCTTCCCGCGTTGAAACGGTTATGCTGAATGTTGCTGGCGCGCCGAGGAGGACGAGGAGTTGCTGCCCGCACCGCCCACACGCAATAATTAACCATCGGCGCGCATGCGCAGCGAGGGTTACAGTACTTTGGTGGTTTGTCCGTCTGTCCGTCGTTTTCTGCCACCACGCGCAACAAACAGGTAAAATAGCGACACCAACGCTAAACTGGCTTGATTTTAGAAATGGCGATTTTCGTAAAAGTGCCGCGTTCAGAAGTTATGGCGTGAAAACCAAGTGAACAGCTTACCTCGACCTGGTCCGCTTGCTCTGTGTACCTCGGAGGCACAAGAAGTCACAACGAAGGGCGTGTATCGACTCCCGCATGCTATCTACTACTGTAGCTAGCCCGTGTCACACTCTCCGCGAGCTACTAGCACGCAGACTAACAGGCCCAGCCCATCAATTAGAGGTACCGCGCATGCGCAGTTCGCCGAGGGTTTGCACTTTAGTGATAATAGGGAAATGATCAGGAATCCAATAAACAAATGTATATACGGCAGAGGGTTATTTTTAACCCTGATAGAGGGAAATAAATTATGTCAGGAATGCAATCAGGTCAAGGTGTGGCAGATGGTTGTTTGACCATGTCCATGCACAATGTAGAGGAAAGAGGGCAAGGATGCACGATTCATGGCAAAGAGCGACCTCTACTCACCTCTACTCACGCATGCAGTGATAAAGTGAATGGTCACTGCTTCAGTAGCCAAAGATTCTGGCAAGCTATCTTATAAGCCCTTTACTGTGGAGGGAATGCTGGGGAATGTGTGGCTATTCCTATATACCTTTACTATCCCTAAAATAATCTATATTTGTTGGCAACATCTTTCCTATTAGGAGGGGATTTCCCTGGTCCATTCCCTATCAGCTGTTGGCTTGCTGTTCACTCATGTTCTCATGCTATCTCTCACCACTGCTGTGTCCACACACTACCTGTAGGGCCCAGAGTTGTGGTTTGGTGAGAGCGAGGCTAACGTCAGAGATGTGTTTGACAAGGCCAGGGCAGCAGCCCCCTGCGTTTTGTTCTTTGACGAACTGGACTCCATTGCCAAGTCTCGTGGCGGCAACGTTGGAGATGGAGGTCTGTTCTCCATTATTGTACATTGCCACTGCTAGCATCACATGTATGTCGGTTTTCAGTCTACGAGTGTGAGGTAATTTCTACATGATGTAATTCTGAAAGTCTAAACTTATATGGGGAATTTCATGCTCAACCTGTACTACTGTTATACTACTATAATTAAGAGTACATACACATTTCCCCTTCGTCCTATATACCTGCAACACCTATGACATCACAGGAAGGGCGCTATTACACTTCCATTACAAACTCTGTCATAAGAGCACACCTTTCTCCATTGTCCCTATGTACACTACATGGCAGGAGGGGCAGCTGACAGGGTCATCAACCAGGTCCTGACAGAGATGGACGGAATGAGCTCCAAGAAGAATGTGTTCATCATTGGTGCCACCAACAACCGACCTGATATCATTGACCCTGCCATCCTCCGTCCCGGTAGACTGGATCAGCTAATCTATATCCCTCTACCTGACGAGCCCGTAAGTACAGGGGCTCTCTGTAATTCATTCAGTAGTGTAGTGTTACACTGTAAGGGATACGTTGTAGACGGACTTTGAAAGTGTATTCTACGATCCATCGCAGGAGGCATGACGAAAAAATCTTGGATCAGGAGCTACGGGGAGATGAGATACGTCCACAGACTATTCGGATGTGTCCCTAGTTCAAAGGCCACTATGGAGTATCGGGCAGAACTTAATTTCATTATTGTCGGTTCCACTCTGTTTCCTTTTACTTTCACACTTATTATTCCCCTCTCACGTGCAGTCCCGTATATCAATCCTGAAGGCAACTACTCGCAAGTCGCCTCTTTCAGAGGTATGTAAGGAATGTTTACAATGTACATGCATGGAAACAACTTCCATATTCCTGTTGGGGAGGCTCCCGTGATAACCTTATCATAGGTATGTTCCCTAATATAGTGGCCCACACAAGTTGCAGTTTACATAAACAGCTGACTGAGGGGATTGGTCTATATATGCTGCTGTGTTCTCTATATAGGATGTGGATCTTATGTACATTCAGTCCCCTCCTCTGCCTCTCCTCCTCTCTATAGATCAGGGAGAAGATGGATCTCATAGATCTGGAGGATGACACTATCGATGCTGAAGTCATGGACTCTCTGGCTGTCACCATGGACAACTTCAGAGTGAGTCCTATGTGTATATAAACTGCTGTAGCTAATGCACAGAATAACCCAGTACACCAGACAGTGTGAATGGAAGTGAAATGAAAACAGTGGCATTTAGAATGAGTTTTACACACTAGTGTATTGGTTGCTCCTGCATGCATCGCTGTAGCCTTCTCTACATGCATATACACATGTACACGTTGTGTGATGTACATGTATGTTGTACATTTCTAATGAAAATCTCTCCTGGCGATCGTACAGTATGCGATGGGTCAGAGTAACCCGAGTGCCCTGAGGGAGACGATAGTGGAGATACCCACAGTGTCCTGGGAAGACATCGGGGGACTGGAGGAGGTCAAGAGAGAGCTCCAGGAACTCGTCCAGGTAGACTATTACCAGTCATTTGTGTACGGTTCACGAGGAACTTAAACATGGGTCACCGATCCCTCGCGCCCCAACGAAACCTTCAGCAAATTTCATCGCAACTTGCGACAAGTTTCGGGCAGCAGAGTTGCCTTGTGTTTGTGTGTGGTAGGTCCCAGCAGTGTGGACTGTTGATAATACCAGAGTATGTGGGCAGAGCGGTGCTATTGCACTGTGTGGAGGGCGTGCTTATGCAGTGGAGTCCATGACTTTCATATTTTATTCATAGCACACTGTGTGTAGCAGTGCTTGCACTTCCTTTTTCAAAATTAGTGCACCCTGATAATTATATACATTATTATTATAATTTGCTGAGTGCTGACTGCTGAGCAAGTGTCATCCTACCCATAATGAGCGGGCGATATCATCATGCAAGTGCTGCCAGCTCTCACAAACAGGCTGTTTGTTCTTTGTTGCTGTAGTACCCGGTGGAGCATCCGGAGAAGTTCCTCCAGTTTGGCATGACTCCCTCTAAGGGAGTTCTGTTCTACGGTCCTCCTGGTTGTGGCAAGACCCTGCTGGCCAAGGCCATTGCCAACGAGTGCCAGGCAAACTTCATCTCCATCAAGGTATACAGTTATTGTATCCCGGGCAAGTCCATTGCTGAATGTTACTGATTGAGTTTTCTGCTGCCCACACCGCCCACACGCAATATATAGGGAAATGTATCAGGAATCCAATAAACAAGAGGGTTTTTTTACCCTGGTAGAGGGAAATATGTCAGGAATGCAATCAGGTCAAGGTTCTTTGACCATGCCCATGCACAATGTAGAGGAAAGAGGGCAAGGATGCAGATTCATGGCAAAGAGCGACCTCTACTCACGGGTGTAGTGATAAAGTGAATGGTCACTGCTTCTGTCCCTAAAACAATATTTGGGTAATGTTACTTTAGGAGGGGATTTCCCTGGTCCATTCCCCTTGTCTAATTGCCTCCCTATCTGCTGTTCACTCATTTTCTCATGCTATCTCTCACCACTCTGCTGTGTCCACACACTACCTGTAGGGCCCAGAGTTGCTGACCATGTGGTTTGGTGAGAGCGAGGCTAACGTCAGAGATGTGTTTGACAAGGCCAGGGCAGCAGCCCCCTGCGTTTTGTTCTTTGACGAACTGGACTCCATTGCCAAGTCTCGTGGCGGCAACGTTGGAGATGGAGGTCCGTTCTCCATTATTGTACATGTATGTCGGTTTTCAGTCTACGAGTGTGAGGTAATTTCTACATGATGTAATTCAACTTACATGGGGAATTTCATGCTCAACCTGTACTTTTTTACTGTCACTACTATAAGAGTACATACATATTTCCCCTTCGTCCTGCAACACCTATGACATCACAGGAAGGGCACTATTACACTTCCATTACAAACTCTGTCATAAGAGCACACCTTTCCCCACTGTCCCTTATGTACACTACATGGCAGGAGGGGCAGCTGACAGGGTCATCAACCAGGTCCTGACAGAGATGGACGGAATGAGCTCCAAGAAGAATGTCTTCATCATCGGTGCCACCAACCGACCTGATATCATTGACCCTGCCATTCTCCGTCCCGGTAGACTGGATCAGCTAATCTACATCCCTCTACCTGACGAGCCCGTAAGTACAGGGGCTCTCTGTAATTCATTCATTAGTGTAGTGTTAAGGGATACGTTGTAGACGGACATTGAAAGTGTACACTATTCGGATGTGTCCCAAGTTCAAAGGCCACTATGGAGTATCAGGCATAACTTTATTTCCTTATTGTCGGTTCCACTCTATTTCCTTTTACTCTCACACTTATTATTCCCCTCTCACGTGCAGTCCCGTATATCAATCCTGAAGGCAACTACTCGCAAGTCGCCTCTTTCAGAGGTATGTAAGGAATGTTTACAAGGTGTATGCATGGAAACAACTTCCATATTCCTGTTGGGGAGGCTCCTGTGATAACCCTATCATAGGTATGTTCCCTAATATAGTGGCGCACACAAGTTGCAGTTTCCATAAACAGCTGACTGAGGGGAATTGATCTATATATGCTGCTGTGTTCTCTATATAGGATGTGGATCTGATGTACATAGCCAAGGTCACCAAAGGGTTCAGTGGCGCTGATTTGACAGAGATCTGTCAGAGAGTAAGAAAATGACTACATACGTGCATAGTGAGACTGCCTCACTCCACTTCAGGCCTGCAAGCTGGCCATTCGTGAGAGTATTGAGGCTGACATCCGCCGGGAGAGGGAACTTCGAGACAACCCCGACCAGGAGATTGTACGTAGACACACGTTTACACGAAACCCTAACTTAACTGGCTCACGGGGTGATCAAGTAATCACTGTAACCTTGACACAGTGTGACTTTTAAAAGGCCGTATATAGTATAACCTTCAGACTGTGACTAAACTGCCTGTTGTGTCTAGCAACCACTGAGGAGCTAACTATGTTCAATGTGGCCAGTATGTAGTATATATAGCACAATAGCGAAGGTTTATACTTATGTGGCTGTAATTAGATAATATGCATACCATCAAATGATGGCTTCAATTATACTGCACAGGGAAACAAGTGTATACACTTACACTTACTGTACTTCTGCAGAACAAGTTGTTGTGTCTTGCCAAAAAGTGGGGGTTGTCGTTGTTTTAGGCATTTTGTGTGTGGATGGGGTAATGAATGGCTAACGAGCCACAAATTAGTAATAAAACCCGTAGTAATTGGGTGTGGCATAAACAAGTCTGTTACTCGTAGATACAGGTGTGGTGGATGCACTGTCTCTGATAATCTATACCATATATATACCCCACCACTAGGACATGGAGGAGGACCAGGTACCAGAGATCCGTAAAGAGCATTTCGAGGAGGCCATGAGGTTCGCTCGTCGCTCCGTCACGGACAGCGATATCCGCAAGTACGAGATGTTTGCACAGAAACTGCAGACTGCCCGCGGATTTGGGCAATCCTTCAGGTACTTAGAATGTTTCACACAACTGGAATTTTACGTATAGTGACTTTTATCCCTGTTTTGTGGCTTGTTAGCCACAACGTTGCACAAGCTTTAATATTTCTAAGAAATATATAGGTCCCAATAAATAATGTATGTATATTCATGCATGGGAGTATGCAAATACAAGTTATGCATGATGTCACTGTGTCTCACTTGCCGAGTAGTTGTGCAACAATAATCTGTCATCACAATACCGTAAATTTGCACATAAATTTTACACACACCAGGTTTCCCCAGAGCCAGGGTGCACAGGGGTCATCTCAAGGGGGAGGGGCTGGGGGAGGTGCCTCTAACCCTCCTGGACTGGAGGATAAGCAAGACGACCTGTACAGTTGAGGTCTCACCCTGTGATCGAGACACTGACAACAGAACTTTAGGCATTATTATTATGTATGGCAATATATACCAAATCAGCTATTAATTATACCGTACTGATTACACTAGAGAAGGGGAAGGGGGAATTAGAGTGTATAACGGAAGGAACCATCTCATCTTTAAATCCACAAAGCCTGTCCATGTTTATTGCAACATAATGAACCTGGGGATTGGAGAGTGAGGAGGATATGAGGCAAAACACTATGGTTGTAGGTACGTCGGGTCCAGGCCTATACCGCTGCTACGTTCGAGTGTGTGTAGCAGCTGGGCGCATGCGCGCTAGTATCTATAGCGGCGCGCGCGCTACGAACATTCATTACAACGTCACACGCCTCGCGGAGGGAGAATCCCAGGGAGATTCCAGAGATTCCGCCCAAGCTTTATACTCTCCGGCAGTTGTCCAGCGTATATTTCAGACTTTTGGCTGATAACATGCCCGGATACAGTGTTCTTGACTCTCAACTGAAGGGAACTACTGAGAATGTCGCGAAGTACCGTTGCCCTCAGTGTCGCCTCCTTCTCAGAGACGCTGTTCAGCCGTCCTGTGGCCACTGGCTCTGTACAGACTGTGCCGTTGAAATATTCGCAAGAAAGTAAGAGTAACTTATTAGGTCTCTTTCAGCTTACATAAGTCATTGGTAAAAATTAATTAACCCTTGCCTGACCCTCGCCACCCTCGTGGTTGTGGCTCTGCCAGACCATTTTTTCCTTTTCTCAACTGAAAGGGTAAACCACACTGAGTTTATTGCATGTGTCATCCAGTTCATCCATGCCGTATTTTCTCTGGGAGACCCGCCCCCTGGCTTGTTTGCTCCCATGAACTTGCTATAACCTAATAAAACTCGATTTGCTGTGTCACTGTATTCTCTAATCCCAGGAACCCTCGCTGTCCTCGAGATGATTGCGGAGAAGAGCTAGTCCCTGAAGATGGACAAGATGTGAGGACATGTGTGCTGTACTACTGTACAGTGGGGCAGTGCCTAGATGCTTCACTTTACTGTACACTACACTGTGTGCCAAGTTTACGATTGCAACAACTATTACACTCTGTTGCGTAATTGCATAGGATTACACAGCAAGTTGCTACAAGCACGTACAGCATAAGAATTTAGCACGCAAAGCATCATGCACCATAGAGTTGAGTTAAGCAATGAACAGCATAATACATAATACTGTACATGAGGAGCATATCCCTTGGCTTAGACTGGTGCTAATGGTTGCTGAACGTTCTTGGCAATGGTGTGTGTGCATGTTTGTGGAGCTCTAGTGCCCCCCAAACCCAAACTCAGGGTCACAGTATGAGTAGGTGTACTGTTCTCAGTACGCCGGTCAGGCCCACCCAGCCACCATGTAAATGGGGAGGCACTCTTTGTTAGCTCAGAGTTGCCGCTATAATGTAGTCTCTTTATGAGGCCAGTGTCTAGTCTTCCGGTTCGTCTGTCATGGCTCGTGTGATGTTCTCTGATGGGCCATGCAGTCATCCTGACTAACTTGCCTCCTGTAAAACGGTACACACCAAACAGACACCTGTATGTATGTACACTGTAGCTCAATGTCACACTAGACGTTGGAGAATCGTGTTGCATTCGTTTTTTTTAAATTTTGCTCAGTTCTTCCCAGATCGGTTCGTTCGACGGGAGATCCTGCAATTCATCGTGATATGTGCTTTCGGTGCAATGGGGTGTACCTGGGAGGACCTCTCTCTGATTATGAAGTAAGACCTTTTACACACTTATGCAAAGTGGCAAAGTGCATTGTGTGACAACAAAAATGGTCACAATTGTGGAACGTCTTAAGGTTGTAACTTTGTATGGAGTGTTTTCTATCACATGACATTCATAATTTGTACTATTCTGCCTCATGTGACAGGCTCACAAGGAGGGCTGTACGTATGCTGTGGAGACATGTGAATGTGGCGAGACGATGCCACGAACTGAGGTGAGGAGAGGGAAGGGGGGTGGAATGAGGAAGGAGAGAGAGGAGAGGGAAGGGGGTGGAATGAGGAAGGAGAGAGAGGGAGGGGAGTTAGTGTGAGGTAACGGCATGTGAGACTAAGGTGTAATTCATGAGTGATGTTATAGCAGTTGCTATTCTTGCAAGCTGAAGAGCTGTACCAATACACTGACCAATTGAAGAGAAGCAGATGACAAGTAACCTGTGCTTCGCCTGAGAGCCCAGTCCATTTCAAATACTTGCACAATCAATCACAATCAGTTACTCTTAGCGTAGTTTTATTAGAAAATAGCTTGAGCAGTGCTCTGTTAATTAAGCATTACATTTCGGCATGCATGTGTATGGTTGTTGTGTTCATGACCCTTTATGGGGATGGATGCATGCAGATTACTACCTTACGTTTGTGGCTTTACCGAGTATCCCGTGTGTGGTTGAGTGTGAAAGACCCTGGGAATGTTAGATATCCCACAGAAAGGAAGTACGTACATGTAAACAACAAGATATCACAATATGTATATACCTGTAAAGTTTTGTACCTGTATAGGAGAGGGGCATATAGCAGAGGAGAAACACTGCTCTTGCCGCTGGGTCAGTAGGTCTCTCTGCTTCTCTTTTCGAAAATGATTGTCATGGTATGACTGGGTTGTCTAGAGAGTTTGCTGAGCTTTTATACCACTCGGTGCGATGGGAGCTGCTGTGTTATGATGCCATATGTGTGGGAGGAGCTGGTATGCTGCAAAGCTAGCAATAAGTAGCTTGGCATGTGCTAGTCCCAGCACATGCCTATGTTTAAGTCATGCATGCTACAATGCCTATATATAGAACATTAACATTCCATATCTTTCCTGCATTTCTTGTGAGGGGGTGTTGTCTTCGTTGATCTTGCTGTTGATCTTGCTGTTGCATGAGTGCCCTACGTTAACGACATGTCCATACAGTCCATGTGCATGATTGTATTTTTAGAAAGATCCATTGAGCATGCGCAGGGTTCCTGAGAAGCTATTTTGAAAAATGTCACAAATTCATCGTATTCCTGGTCTTTCCCTTCATTTACATACATATGTGAAAAATGGCAGCTAAAATAATGGAGATGAGACTATACAAAATGTCTCAGCTATTACTTGAGAGAAGCTGATTGTGTGTGCTTAGCACAAGTAGCTGCTGTATAATTTGGTGTGAAACATAGTATACCCTAGGGGGTGAAGATATCCAGGCTTCCCCCACGTTGAGACTGGTAGCTGTTGGTTACTCTAGAACACAGAGCCCCACGACTTGCTTCCTTCTTCCCAGCCTGTTTCCTCGTTGGCAGGTTACGAAAAATGTCTCGGCTACCTAGATGGTCATGAGTATGTCGCGCGAGCATGCCCTGAAGACACGTCTCCATGTGCCCAAAACGCGTGCATGAGGCTCTTTAGTGTGGGTGGCACAAGTTGCTGTAATCGTTGTTTGGTTACCAAGACTCATAAGTACCTGCTAATGACTCGTTGCTAGAGGGAGCTCTATACTAGGTCTTTGTTCCACTTGTCGCCTTTAACAGAACCAGATAGGCTATAACTAGGTTTATGCATCGAAGTAATACTGGGAGAAATTTAATGCGGATACTCAAACGTGATTTCAAGTAGGGTACACTATTTATACTGATATAGGTATGGTATGATATTAAAGAACTATGACCTTCCTATAACAGTGAACCATGAAATTGTGGTTTCTGATCAAAGATCAAATCATCCCACTACTGATACTGTAAATATGTCATCTTTAGAGGAAAGACAGAAAGTGTAGTCTTATAACTAAATGTTCATCACTGTCTCTATCCAGCTTGCACTGCACAAGAAGACACAGTGCACGAAATCCATGAAACCGTGTCCACTTTCCAAGTTGGGATGTCCAGGAAAGAAAGAGGTAATTAAACCAGGGGTTAGGTTAATGTGCATGGCAGACGCTAATGTATTCATGGCTTGTGGGACTTTTATGGACCATGTGATAGTGTGTTTGGAAAAGAGTAGCATTACTTGAAGAGCTTACTTACTATATACTGTTAACTAGCAGGCTAAGGTTTCTGCATGCAGTGTGCAGCGACACTAAAGTGCTTGTTTGGATCTCTGCCTCACAGATGACAAACAAAGAATTGTGCGACCATTTCGGCGAAACGACGCACATCGTTGACCACTTTGAGTTGCTGGCCGCCTACATTCGCTCGCTGAGGGTCGAGACAGCCCTCGCCGACTCTGTCCAGCCTCTCAGTACCAAACGTCCCCCGGCCGTCGGCTCTGACCAGTTCGACAAGTTTGACAGCGGGATAAAATCACTGTCTGTCCGCCGCTTTGGCGATGAAGAGAGAGACGGTGTCGAGAAAGACAACCCGACCCGTCCACATAAGCTGAAGCTTCTCGACATGGACCCTGCGGCAAGGCCTGGAGTTGATTACACAAGAATGCCGCTCTACTCTGCTGATACCCTTGGTCCGGGGATGCCCCTCCCGAAGTGGATCCAGGACGAGTTGGAGAAGGCCCGCAAGGGGGCCAGGGAGGAGTCCCGGCAAGAAGTGGAAGCTCTGAGAAACAGGATCAAGCTCCTCGAGCAGCAGATGACGCAGATGCAGAAGACTCTCCAGGCCAAGACCTCTGAGATTGAAGACCGCGATTTTCGCCTCTCCCTCATCGAAAACAGCAACTACGACGGTTCCATGATCTGGAAGATCCCTCAGTTCAGTCAGCGCATGACCGACGCCAAGACGGGCAAGTACACCTCCATTTTCTCCCTCCCGTTCTATTCCAGCAGATACGGCTACAAGATGTGCCTCCGTCTGTACATCATGGGCGATGGCATCGGAAAGGGGTCGCACATGTCGCTGTTTTTCGTCATGATGAGGGGAGAGTTTGATAATATTCTCCAGTGGCCTTTCACACAGCGCGTGACCTTCCGACTCATCAACCAGGAAAGCGGTCGCGACATAGTCGACACGTTCCAACCAGACCCCCTCAGTTCGTCTTTCAAGAAGCCGAAATCCGATATGAACATCGCCAGCGGTTGCCCCCGATTCATCTCCCACGAGAATCTCAAGGGTGGTGGATACATTGCCGATGACACCATCTTTATCAAGTGCACAGTCGGCCAGGGCTCCCTGTCGCACCCCTGAGCAGAGCAGACTGTTGGGGAGCTGATGAAAGGGGCAACCGCTGGCTATATATGTTGCGTTCAGTGTTGTGCCACACCACAATGACTTTCAAACAATATTTACAGACATCTAAAACATAATGTAGATCCATGCCAATAGCTACTTAAAAACGATTATGAATAAATAAATTTTTTGCGGTTTTTATATGACTTCTTTGTGGACACACGACAACATAAAACAAGGACGATGTGATTGGATGAGGAGAGCGTTATGTCTGAGGGTGGGGTGAAATAAGGTGAGAGGGGAAGACTAGCAGTGCAAGGAGCACAGGTTGTGATGCAAGTTGAGCAAGAGATTCGGAGTGGTGAGTCTGAGTTTGGATGGAATCGGTGACATGTCGAGTCTACTCTTGACCGCCATGTGCTGCTCGAGATAGAGCTTGACCTTCCACGGCGGCAGATTGGGGCAGTGCTGCAGTAGCAGTGCAATGGCACCTGTGACATGAGGGGCAGCCATGGACGTCCCGCTCTTGAAGTCTATGCAGTCGTCGCAGTTCTTGTGAGCACTAGGGATTTGTTCGCCGGGGGCAAAGATGTCGACACAGAGCCCTGCGTTGGACATGGACCAGGCGCGGTCCTGTCGGGTGCTGGCTGCAACAGTGATTGCTCCTCGAACTGAGCCCGGTGTAACACGACACGAGTCTCTCGGTCGGCGCTGGCTGTTCCCGGCGATGGTCACCACAGTGACATTGTGTCGCAGTAGTTCCTCGATCGCTCTCTTGACCGCCCTCGTCTTCTCTCCGTAGAGAGACATGTTGATGATAGCCGGCCGATTTCGTCGCTGCACTCGCTCTAGGACACAGTCCAACCCCTCCACTATCGCATTCCACGACCCCGTCAAGTTGCAGTTGAGGACCCTCACAGAGAAGAGATTCACATTGGGGGCCACCCCGTAATCAACTCCGCCAACGATCCCAGCCACGTGTGTTCCGTGTCCGACGCAGTCCCACCCGGTCATGTTCTCAACGTGGCTGCTGAGACCGAGACCTCCAAAACGCCACAGAGACTGCGACTCAACATCGGCGGGATCACACCCGGGGTGCAAAGCCCGTCCACCAAACTGACTATGTGAGAAGTGGATACCAGTATCCAGTACGTACACATCCACACCCTCTCCTGTGAGGTTACAAGGCGGCCGAAAGTATGTGTCAAGATTGTTGCTGGGCTGATCGATTCGGTCCAGACCCCAGGCGTAGAAGACCCTGCGAGGGGCCGAGCCTGCAATTGCTCGACTGTCCTCTTCTACAAACTCCACTGCTTGGACTCTCCGCACCTGCAGTGAGAGGGATAGCTAAATTTTAGTGTATATAGCCCATAGTGTAGCCCATAGTAGTGTTTTAAACAGTTATAGATTGTGAGTGGTAAAGACCCTCTTGAATTTCACCACTTAACCTTCTCATTGGCGCAGCATGTGGCACACACACTGGACTGGAACAACAGAATGCACCCCCACATGGTAGGGGGTTATTGTTAACCCAATACTTTTCCTGGGTGTTCGCGCACCCACAGCTATGTCAGTGTAAGCTTTCTCACCTCGTTTTACTCCTACTGTTGAAATTGGATGCCTACGTAAGTTAGTGGGCCTTGACACACATCTGAAAGTGTAAGTATTCCATACAGAAGCAATTTACACCAGCTACAACATCCAAAGAACCATCCATGCCTGACTGAACTGTGTAAACACCTTCCTCCTTATGACAAGAGTTTACTTTGATGTAGGCACAAGGTTTTGTGCTTCATTCTGGCAAACATATATACTGTTGAATATTTTACACACAATGAGGGAGTTCTAGCAAAGCTATTGAGCCTGAGTGTACAGGTTGAAACATGTGGGCCTTTAAAGTTATACACTAGTAAAAGCAGTAAAAGAACAAGTGGAATTTTTTTTCCATCAAGCAGCCTAATAATGTACAAGGGACATCAATCATTGTGTCAGCAAACTGAGCTTTACACTTTACTAGACTTCAGATTATTGATAGAATATTAGCAAGCAAATGTTGTGACTTGAAATACGGGTGCTAGACTTTTTACTAGCAGCTTCAAGTGGCCAATAACTTTGATACCAAGTAACTAAAACAGTCACTAATACTCTAACAATGCTTAAAACTGCAAATCTTTTGTCTAGACTGCAGATAAGCTACCAACTTCACCGCTACGGTTTGGCGATATCAACAATGTCATGCACACAATAACAACGATACTACCGAAGCTTCAGAAACTGGCACAAAATGTGACACCTGGAGTTCACTTTAAAATCATCCAGTAATTGCATGACGTTGTAATGCCCGCTCTGTGTCATATGCGATTTAACTTGGCAGTGTTGCTTGAAAAACACTACATCTCAATTAATACCACACTCACCTGGGCAAGGAAAGGGTGCAGATTAATCGGAACTTAGAGCTAAAAACCTGTGGGTGCTCAAACTAGTGTGGCTTTGATTGACCAACAGCAAAGCTTGGGCAGGAAATGGGGCATTCCTTGAACAAGTATATATAGAGCTTGACCAAATACTGTACTCTAATTTCTGACACATGCCATGTGGGTAACTTGAAGCCCAGCTGAACTGCAGACGGGACTGCTATTGCTTGTCACACACGGGAGTGATTATGTAACACAATGCTGCAGTGCTTTTAGAGACAAAGTGACCTGGCCATCCCAACCACTAATCTCATTGGTGAGGAGTGCTTAAAATAATAGGCACAATTATTTTGGCAGTCAAATCTCCTCTTTCCCACACCCATATGCACATAAGTTATGGCTATAGTATTAGTTTTTTGGTACTTCAGCAGCATTCCCTAAATAATATATGAATGCATTCTGCAGGTAGTTCTTCAATACTCACATAGTCGAGTGCCAGGTCAGAAAGTCTTACAGGGAAACCGTAAGCAGCTTTAGTGACTATGGCAGAGGTGCTGACTTTGAACGGTCCTTCCTGACTGGATCGGTTGGTCAGTTCTCTCACTAGCTCTTTCAGCTCGCCCAGGCTGACACTCTGTCTGATGTGAACAAAGTAGGAGTTGGGGATTCTTTCGCTATCTCGTGCTCGTATCAGCCGCCTCTTTCTCGATCTTCTGGCATCACACACAACCAATGCTGCTGCAACAATTAGTAGAATTGTGCAGAGTCTCCAACGTGTACTGTAACACTGGGGTGCCATGCAGCTAGTTGAAGAATTCTCCTGCAGCAACAATTTGATAGGTGGTTATGCAACAGACATATGTTATGCATAAAATACCACATATTTGAGTTGGCACTGCGGCTATTATCCAACGTACCTTGCTTTTTTCAGTCTCGCCTATTTGCTGCGTGTATGTCGGCGGTGAAGGTGGTCAACTCTTTTATACACAGTCTCGGAGCGCACTGTTGCGTCACTCCGGGCCGCGCTTCCTGTCGCTTCCGGACGTTGTATATAGCGCGCTTGGAGCGGAGGAATAAAAATGCCGGTGAGGAGAAATTGGCAGGTCTACAAGCACAGGTTCACGCCATGGCTAGCCTTCAACTGGTCATCGCGGTAAGCTCTCACACTCTACATGCTGCGTTTTCCCTCTCGCACTGCGCATTTATTGGAACCTATAATATAGCAGGAACCTATAGCTGTCATCCCTATAGATACCGTACTTAGTGATAACAGTGCGTCCTGCAGTCCGTGCGCCGTTTTTGTGTACGCAGAAAATGGAACCTGCATAGTGGCAACCATGATACGATGGTTAAAGTGCAAGATATGTTCCATTCACCTCCGAATATTAGTCATGCAGTATTATACAGGTTATGGCCTATTAGCGTAGTCAAGTTTTCTGAGCTTCTACAAAATTAGTTATGTCTTTCTTGTGTCATATCTGAAAACAGCACGCCGTGTGTGGCTCCGCGTTGACTTGGGAGGCTATGCATGCAGGCAGTAGTTGCTGAATGCAATGTGTTGGGGTATGATTAGAGCGGAGCTGTAGTTGTTCCACCAGCATGTTGGTGACTAGGCCCATCCATAACTGAACACCTAACGCTGACTGAGGTTGGACACTATTATGATCGGCTAAGTTTATACCTCTGTTGTCTTCTCTGCATTATAATGCAGTTTTCTGGAAATGTACTCTTGGGCTCTACTGTGGGTGCCAATTCAATGCTCACAAGTATGGATTTTTAGAGGAGCTAGCAGTGACACCAATCACCTAATAGCAGGTGACCTCACCTTGCACTATAGTGTTAGAAGCCCAGTGCAAGCATGATGATTATAGATACTACTACGAAGTGATAAGGCATGAAGTGGAAATTCAGTTGGTGAACCAGGTGTGTGTGGTTAGCTGGAGGGACTGTCTCGGAGATGAGATCAGACAGAGAACAAAGCACTCGGGTTTGTCGGCCCGTGATTCATCTTCTGGGGAGAGCACTTTGTGTCTTTAGGAGCATCACGGGAGACGGAAGGACACGCGCTTATTATGTTTAGGAGCCTTGACAGACCGAGAGTTCGGTGACGGCTAACACGTTTATTGCAAGTTAGGTTGGGAGTAGGATTTCTCCACATTTAACCACTCGCTAGTGTTCAAAGCGACTTCACCTGGATACTGTTTCAATACTAGGTTATTTGCAGCACGTATGCATCCAAGGTCTGCTTACTGATGAGGACATCTTGGCAGACCATTATTCATTTTCTTAGAATTTACCTGTATGATTGGTCGGCACTTTTGTAGCCATGTCCTGCATGTGTCTCCTTAAAGCCACAAAGCCAACCATGGATCAATATAAGCCATCCGACTGGCAACAATACGTGGCACTACGAGGATGATTATGGTCAGATATAACTAACCTCCTGCATCCAGGAATTGTCAAAGAAGCCGCAAAAGTCAAAGTAGTGACACGCAAACAGTGTTTTGACGTACACACACATAAATTAAAATTATATGTTTATGGATAAGTCCCAACTCACCTTTTCCTTACATATCAGCATCAAATCCAGGATATCCTTTTCTCTATTCAGTCAAGTTAAAGAAATGTGTGAACGTGGGTGTATGCATACTGTAGGTCCACGCCTTTTCTCAATGGCGTTCAGTTTGCAACTCTGCAGGGCTAGCTACTACCAATGTGCTAACCCCAGAAACACTGGGTTACCACGTGCATGTGTAAAGGGAGGAGAGAACATGAGACTTTGTTGGCAAATAGAACCTTATTCAGTGACCACACTCACTACTGTTGACTCTGCTTGTGTAACACCAAATCCATGATACTACGTCACCAGCCTCAAGGCGTACGTCCAGAGCTGACTCGTCTTCAGTGTATACCTCAGCCGGTCTTCAGTAAACTCAAGCACATTTTTTAGAGTCAAAATTATAAACATGGCGACAACGACGTAAAAAGGCAAACAAGTCCACATCCATAGAAACCTCTACAAAACAGACGCAATATTATGGTCGTAGTATGATGCACAGGGCTCTCACAGTAAAAAATTATGTTCTTATAAATTATGGCAATGGAGCTACAGCCTATCATTAGTAGTGTGTGATGATGTGCATGGCCACAACGAAGCTACGAATTGTGTCCTTGATGTGACAATGGGGCGCTTTCAGCGTGGGCTTGCTTTAAGCCACCACTTGGAAAAGACATCCCTGCAGAGTCATATCACGAAGAGACGAGAGCACAGGGAGAGCCACAACATGAGATCTCTTGCAGTCACAGGGCCACAGACGCCCAAACTTCTGGCACGGCGCACCAAACTATGCATGCTTACGTGTACACATATCTCAAGTTTTGGCACTACTGTATCCATGGGTGTGTGTGTGTGTATATACCACTGCATACACACTTGCTTGCATGCCCCATGCACAAACAAATTAACTCGAAACAACACACACTCCACGTGATTTCTTTCTTGGAGTGCTGTGGGAGTCCGTGCTCATCAATGGGGGCCAGAGGATTTGGGATGTTCGTTCATACGGGTAGCGGGAAGTTCCTAAGGGTATGGGCATATTCAGCAGGGGAGGGGAGGGGCGGCAAGGCAAACAGAATGGCGGAGGGGAGGGGACGGTGAAGTAAGGTTGATGACTTTGTATTTTACGTGGGATTTTGAGGGTGGAGAAGTTTTGACTTTGTGGTTTAGCCGCTTAAAGGGTAGCATGGGGTGCGAGAACGATAAGTTTCTCCATGACAGTTTGTCGTTGGGAGAAGGGAGTCTGCTTGGGAGATAACGCTTTGGAATATGGGGCTAGTGATGAGCGGTGGGTGCCAGGGAGCTAAGAGGAAAGAAAGGTGGAAACTCCGATCGGGGGATAGGGGTCGAGGGACGTGACCTGCTTAAGCGGAGTATGAGGTTTTCATTCAGAGAGCTTCCCACAGTCCAGTGTTTGCTGCTCAATCCACTCTGGGAATACACAAACCGCGGAGAGAAATTTGATCAGTAACAACGGAGGGGTAACTCTTAGTTGGCTGCCACACATCGCACTTCACAACCAGGAGGCGCGAACGCCTGATCCGGTAAGAGCTGGTGGATTGGGTTGAGCACCTGCCAAATCTCATTCCAGTCTGGGTATTGATGTGGCTACGGACTACAACTTAACTGGAGTGCTATCTTACGTACAGTACGTACAGTCATTGTAGAGCTCGTAGGAGTGTAGGTTCGTTGTCAGGGTGGACATCACGGTACTAGCAATCATGTTGGTCCACACCAATATAAGTATGCAGCTTGTTTTCTCACATTATCAGCTAGTGAAACGATGGTTTCCACAGTCCTTTGATACACTTGATTGGGAGGGAGGGGAAGAGAGAGTGAGACACCGAGACAGCTTGTCTGCCTGCTATTGTTCAAGTCAGCCTCTGGTGCAATCATGTATCTATACACACACATGCAGTCATGGTGTTAGTGCAGTGCATGTGTGTGTCAAGTTGACAACAAAGATTGGGCACTCTCCATATGCACCAAAATTCTGCCATGCTGTGTAAACGCCCCTCGCTCTCGCCCTCTTCAAGTCATTCACTGACAGTGTTATGAGTTGAATCAAACAGCTGCCGTACACCTGTGTGCCTGTCGATGTTGCTCCCAGACCATTACCTCCGCCTCCTCTCCCCCCACCCACACTATAGCTGTCTGTCCTGTCTTGTAACATTGCAACTGAACTCTTGCTGTAGCCTATGGCATCAAAACTCAGTACCATCATAATGAGGTAATGTATTGTCGTCCCCGTGGTGGCCTGAAAACCAGGCACGTGTAGACACAAACTTGGATAGTTCACTGCATCCTTGATGACTGGCTCTTGTGCAGTAATAGGTTTGTAAGGGCACACTTGCTTACGACACTGAAAATCGTCTGGCACTATTGTCTGTTGCAGTAATTACGATTACCAATTCGAGTCATTACACTCTGTTGCCGTCTCGTTATGTACATATCCTGCGTCCCGTTTGCTAATGATCGCTTTCACTACGTTGATCGCGTTCTTATGCATATCACTGGTGTTGTTAAGATCTCATTTCACTACGTGTACGTTCTCTATGCCAATATCACTGTTGTTAAGATCATTCGAGTCATTACACTATGTTGTCCGTCTCTTATGCATAGATCACTGCGTTTGTTTAGTCCCATAATCCAATGCCCATTGTGAGTCATTACCTATGTTGTCCGTTCTTGATGACTCATATCACTGGTTTGTTAGATAGATTCATTTCACTACGTGTGTCCGTCTCTATGCAATAATCAGCTGGTTTGTTAAGATCCCAAACATTGGAGTGCATTACACTATGTGTGTCCGTTCTTATGCAATATCAGCTGTTGTTTCGTGCTATGGCGTGTCCCACTGGTGTGTGTGTGCCAATCTACAGTGGCTGTATGAAGTAGCCGACTTACAGAGTGGCGTCACTCCTCGTTACGCCTTGTATTTTCTTTAATGACTCGAGTACTTCAGGCTCGGTTGGGAACATGTACGATGCCTCACATGGTGACACATGTGACTACTACTGGTAATGAATTCTTGCTACGGTCTCCTTGTCTGCTGAGAGCTCTCTCTCACTCTGTCTTTGGAGCTTAATCTAGTCTGGGTGTGAAGATGATTTCTCGGAATATATGGTGGCTTTTGGAGAGTGCACACCTGTGGCAGTGTGTAATGTTGTGTAATGTTGTGACTGTGCTAGAATGCATGTTGCACTGCAATTACTAACCTTCCTATGGGTCGCCCATTAGCAAACAGTTTTATGTATGTGAAAACTATGAGGTAGAAAGGCAAAGGCACAACAAACAAATCAACTACACGCAGGACAGCTCTACATACTGTTACACGTTAAATGTGCTGAAATATAAGGTCTGATATGCTAGCAAGCATTCTTGGGCATATCTGGGAACTGAATACGAGTAGTATGGTTGGAATCACAGTATATACCACATCGCTAGTTTTGCCATAATATTAGCGGCACGCATAAAGGACTCTTTATGGCAAAAATCGTTCTGGTAGCAGCATTCTCTATCTCGACCTCCTGCCATGAAGAAATCTGCAAAGCATTCCACGATCCATGCCTCAGCCTACCGCAACACCGTGGATGAAGCTGTAAATCAAATTAGAACTTGCATATGCCTACATGTAAAGGATCCCCCCCAAAAACACGCGTCTTGCAGTATTTGCTATCTCTCATTTTTACACTTTATAAATAATTATGTAGGCACATGCACTATGCATTATGCATACATACAAAGCGTCCCCTAAGCATATGGATGTGGACAACATTAGGTACATATGTGCTGTGTGTTGAGAGTGGCTCCGGTCCAGCAAAATGCAGGGTGTGATTGTCGTACTAACCTAATAACCGTAGCTAGTAGTGATGGGAGTGTGGACTGATGGGCCTAACGATATGATGGTGTAACTGGAATAATGGGCAGACCTAATGCAGCAAGGTGTACGTATATTGCATGTTATGTACGTATTATATGACGTACAGATACGTACGTATGACTAGCTCGGTTGCTCATGTGGTGTATATGTTGGGGACCGATTAAAAACCAGAGGCCCGTTTTAAAGCCGTTGCATAGGTGGGCATTTAGACACAACTCTGCATCAACCCTGTACCTCCCCACATACATACATAAAACCCACACTCATACCAAACATTAGTGCTCATAAGGACAGGGTAAATTTGATGGGGTTGGTTTGTATTTAACTCCGAACTATACTCAAACAATTGAAGTCCATTGCAAGTAGCACTTTTCAAGCAGCCACTAAGATGTAAATTTAGGTACTCAAACAATAGTCACTGTGCATGATGCTCTTGTTCCTCCAGCCAGGTCAAACGTAGTGATGGCCGACTAAGTAGAGTCCGAGAGAAGCAGGCTGTGAGACAGCTGACCTCACTGCTGGCCCGATTGGACAGAACCTTGCCCCGGGTCACTGCTCGGGACACCAGACGAGTCCTGGGATCCCAGGAGAGACTGAAGTCACTACACGAGACAGGGAGGGAGGGGCTGTGGGAGGAGTTTGGATTCTGTCTGGACGTGTGCGAGAGTCGGCTGACCGGAGGAGGGAGGGGCGTGGCCATCTCACAGGGGAAAGTCCCCGCTGGACACCTCGTCGCACTGTATCCAGGTAAACTCATAGTTTTGTTGGAGAGAATGAAGTAAAGGGAGTGTTTAGATTATTAGTAAAGACAATACGACGGAAGACGTTTTGTTGATTTTTGACCCGTGCTGGACTAACTAGGGCTTGGTTTGCAGCAGGTAACTAGGCAACCTACCATTCAGAGGGAAATATGTAGTATTACTGCCGGCACTTTGTCCACTAATGGTCACGTCTGTCTGGCGTCGGTAAAAAAAACCATTCAAAAGAAAAAGATATAGGGTTTAAATTTTGGAATGTGCATATCTTGGCTCGTGCTAGGTCTACCGTGACAAAGATTGTGTTTGTCTCTAAAATCTATCACCAGTTTTCAGTTGCGGCAGCTATATGTATAAAGATGTGTAAGTACGACACACACCCAATGGTGTGTGTACATGTGAGAGTCCAAAGAGATTATCTCGGTCATAAAAATGCTTGCGTTGTGTCCATCGAGGGGCCTTCACAACGCGGCATGTTTTAAACACGTCACTACTGTCTTAGCACACAGGATGTCCTGCATTGGTTTGCAGTAGGTAACTAGGCAACCTACCATTCAGAGGGAAATATGTAGTATTACTGCCGGCACTTTGTCCACTAATGGTCACGTCTGTCTGGCGTCGGTAAAAAAAACCATTCAAAAGAAAAGGGTATAGGGTTTATCGCAACTTCCCGTCGCTGCTGTTGTTTGTTCTAGACAACAGGCAACGAAAGCCGCTAGAAAGACCGGCGCTGACACGTATTTTTTATTCTGCATTGCCTGTTCTCGCGCACAGACTCCACCCTCAGGAGAGAAAGAACCCTTGTGCGCGATCATGCGTAATGGAAGCTTTGCGATGCGCATGCCCATTTAATCGTTTTTCGCTCATGCGCGCGAGGCGGCATGACCATTCATTCCTGTCTAGAGATATTACTCTGCATAAAGTGATCAAGGAGGGAAAACAAGGCTCGTGCTAGGTCTACCGTGACAAAGATTGTGTTTGTCTCTAAAATCTATCACCAGTTTTCAGTTGCGGCAGCTATATGTATAAAGATGTGTAAGTACGACACACGCCCAATGGTGTGTGTACATGTGAGAGTCCAAAGAGATTATCTCGGTCATAAAAATGCTTGCGTTGTGTCCATCGAGGGGCCTTCACAACACGACGTGTTTTAAACACGTCACTACTGTCTTAGCACACAGGATGTCCTGCGTTGGTTTGCAGCAGGTAACTAGGCAACCTACCATTCAGAGGGAAATATGTAGTATTACTGCCGGCACTTTGTCCACTAATGGTCACGTCCGTCTGGCGTCGGTAAAAAAAACCATTCAAAAGAAAAAGATATAGGGTTTAAATTTTAGAATGTGCATATCTTGGCTCGTGCTAGGTCTACCGTGACAAAGATTGTGTTTGTCTTGTGTCTCTAAAATCTATCACCAGTTTTCAGTTGCGGCAGCTATATTATGTATAAAGATGTGTAAGTACGACACACACCCAATGGTGTGTGTACATGTGAGAGTCCAAAGAGATTATCTCGGTCATAAAAGTGTGTGCGAAGTAGTGTGGGGAGGAACCAAGTACCCTTTATAGCGATGTGTCCTGTATTTAACCGCCATTTTTGAGGTTTCACTGCGTGTTGTAGTTGGACTACGTACTCCCCACTGGATCTGCCTCGAGGGGCCTTCACAACACTGCATGTTTTTCAAACATGTCACTGCTGTCTTAGCACACAGGATGTCCGTGTATCCAAACACCGTCCTGTATGGTGCCAGTGGGTGGACATACTGTTCCGTGTACAGACTGGGGTTTCAGCAGCAAGATGTTTAGTTCGGCCACGCTTTGTTGCGGCTGTGATCAACCAAATTTGGGCAGATGATTCCCCACCGAACACGCCGTGCGTGTATTGGGTCTTCTTGTTACTGAATTCTCTTCCTTGTCCTGGCCAGCGGTCCCTTTTGGAAACTAAACAAAGTCATTCCGAGCATTCTCATGTTCTTTTACCATGGGATAGGGAATCGGCCCTGTTACTATGATGTACAACAAACATGATAATTATTATGTCTGCACAGGACCCAATGCATAATGTATGGATGGCTATGCGTGGAGTATACGTACCATAGAGGGTGTCGGCGTTTGGCGTGCTCGGCAAGTGGGCAGACAGAACAACTGACGCGCATTCCATTTCAATGTTGCTGCCCCTCTCTAGTGGGTTGTAACTCCGTAAACAGTGTTTGGTTGATTGCCGCATGATCAGGAGGAATCTTCAAATCCTTGGGTAATTTGAGCTTGGCTTGTGATTACGGACTTCCGAATAGGTCTCTACATGTGTGTGTGTGTGTGTACTCAATGCTTAGAAGACCAGCTACGTATATGTATGTAGTCCATAGAATCAGTCTTGCTCCAGCAATTCATGCTACATCAGTGTGTGCATGTGTCCAGTGTGTACGTATGTACGTATGTACTTTGAACTCCAGCCGTCCTGCCGCGTCAGCTACTGCTGTGTACATTACTAGTCATGCGTGCATGTTTGTGTTACGTATCCGCCTGCATGTGCGGTGCTGCAAACAACAGTTGCACACAAACTACAGTTTTTGGGGGGTGCAGCCCTAGAGTTTATAGTGAGCTAATTGTGGACATCCAATATCACACTGTTTCTCACGCAGCGCTTGCTGGAAGTGTGAGTACGATGAATTGTTTCTAGCTGCTGTTGCACCTGTTCACTGCATTCAGGTGACACGTAGGGTTCAGCCCAGCTCAAGAACAAATTGTGTACATACGTACTACAACCCACACTTTATGGTACTTATTCCACAGCTGTTACACCTGCAGTGGGACTTGTATGTGTGAGTTTGTGTGTGTGTGTGCGTGTGTGTGTGTGTGTGTGAGTGTGTGAGTGTAAGTGTGAGTGGGTGACTGTGCAGTGGTCTGGCATTGATGGAGTCCCAAGAGACCTCCTCGACAGCCGACCTTTCATCCCTGGAGGTCACGCAAACCTCTCAATTAGATTGGTGACCTTTCCACTTGGAGGTCAAAACCTGGTGTGACTTATTTTTACGTACACAACAGATTTAGGTCGCATTGGTTTTTCGCACGTCATAACCAGTAGGGAAGGGAATGGAATAATAAGGTTTAAAATCCAAATTAGCTCTAGGTATGTATCATGTGTTGCTTTGCTAGCTTATGTTTCAGTATAATGCAACACATTATTGGCAAGCGAGCGTGTGTGCAAAGTTTCACATGCATTTAGTAAATGAAAATTCAATTCAGACAACTAGACGGGGGCTCACTTTGCTCTCCAAACAATGATGCACTCAATGTATAGAGGTGACTGCAAGAAACGATACACTCTCGCATGCGCGAGGTGACTTTGTCTGTTGTCATGACGCCCACAACTATAGTTGACTGTTTTCCTGTGGGTGTGCATCACCCGGCAACCATGCCAAGGTGGTGTGAAAATACGTTCCTCTAGTCATAATACCCACACCATTATCGCCGTTCATTTCCTTAAACTGTTGTGTTGGTGGCCCTACGACCGTGTATGTTCACAACAAGTATGTGTCAGGGTCATGGAATGGATGATGGCTCGCGCGTCGTCTTGATTCATTGTGGTGTGTGGTCTAATGGGGCCGAGCCTCGCACGCACAAAGCATGTTTCATATGCTGGTGTCACCACACGGACAGTGACCTCACAAACGAGATCTAGGGGAAGGAAGGAAAAAGAATAATCTTTCCATAAAGGAATTCAATTACTCTAACAATAGGCAGATGCTAATTCCGGCCCAATCCCTTCCCAGAAAACAATCAGGGGGGGACCATGTAAATACAAGTACGTATACGTAACAAGGTATAATAAGGTTCGAGTGGATCGTGAGTCATAATAATTACGATGCAACAGCACGGGGTATGTATACAGTGCGAAATTCGTTAAGGAACCACTGTTTTATGTTAAAGCGAATACCTGATTAATACGA